AGAACCTCAAAGGAAATGATAAATGCTTTGCTTGTGAGTTCTTCTACACCTGATAGTTTATAGGGTGAAGCTATTTTGTTTGCTTGTTTTTTTACAAAATAGAATACCTCACAGGAAAATAAGAAAAACACCTTATGAATTGTGAAGAGATTCCCCCCCAATCTTAAATATTTGAAAGTATGGGGATGTCTTGCAAAAGTTATGTTACCTGATTCTAAAAAGAGAAAAATTGGTTCTAAAACTTTCGATTTATGTTTATTGGTTATATTGAACAAACTGCTACTTATCAGTTTTTGGTTTTAAAAAGTGATATTCTAGACCAAAATACAATTGTTGAGACAAAAAATGCTAAATTTTTCAAATATATTTTTCCCTTAAAAATTGAGCATGTCTCTAAACCTGTTGAAAATTCTAATTTTGAACAAAATTCAAATGGGAATTTAGTTTTAAGGAGAAGTAAGAGGCAAAAAAAAAGAAATTGATTTTAGAGATGAATTTTATACTCATCTGGAGCAAGATGAACCATTGAATTTTTATGAAGCTATATTTTCTCTTAATGCTAGGTTTAGAGATAAGCCATTGATATCGAAATTGATTCCCTAAGGAAAAATAAAACTTGAATTTTGGCAGATTTGCCTCAAGGGTCAAAGGTTATTGGGTGTAAATGGATTTTTAAAAAAAAAAATTTAAAATGGTTTAATTGATAAATACAAAGCTAGGCTTATAGCTAAGGGTTTTACATAAAAAGAAAATATTGATTATTTTGACTCCTTTTCTCTTGTGACTAGAATTTTTTCTATAAGAATTCTTATTACTTTGGCTTCAATTTACAAGCTTTATATTTACCAAATGAATGTTAAACAACTTTTTTGAATGGTGATTTGGAAAAAGAGATTTATGTGGTACAGCTTGAAGAATGTGTGGTTCCTGAGTAAGAAAATAAAGTTTATAAACTTGTTAAATCTTTGTATAGCTTAAAATAAGCACCTAAACAATGGCACGAAAAACTTGATTAAGTTTTGACAAATGGTGGTTTTTCTACTATTGAAGTAGAAAGATGCATTTATACAAAACTCGTGAATAATAATTGTGTGATTATATGCTTTTATGTGGATGAAATTTATATACTAATCTTTGGCTCCAGCATGTATGTTGTGAATGAAATCAAAAATTTTCTTTCTTCAAACTTTGATATGAAAAATATGGGTGAAGTTAAAGTAATCTTGGGTGTGAAAATCATAAGGAATGAGAATGAAATTTTACTTTTTCAAGAACATTATGTTAAGAAAATTTTCAAAAGTTTGGACATCGTGAAGATGCTCCTATGAGTACTCCTTATAATTTAAGTGTGCAATTAAAAATGCACAAGGGTGACCCAATTACTCAATCTAAGTATGCACAGATTATTAGGAGTCTATTGCATTTGATGAATTTTACTAGACCTAATATAGCTTATACTATAGGCAAATTGAGCAGATATACCCACTGTCCAGACAGTAAACACTAGAAGGCTCTAGTAAGAGTCTTGAGATATTTGAGAGGTATTATGAATTATGGTATATTCTATAATGAATTTCTCACTTTAGTAGAGGGATATAGTGATGCTAACTAGATCTTAGATTCAGAAGAGATAAAGCCCACTAGTGGTTATATATTCACTCTTGGTGGTAGTACAGTAACTCAAAAGTCTGCAAAACAAACAATCAACATAAAATTCTCTAGGGATTCTAAGTTTGTTGCTATGTAACTAGCTGGAACTGAGGTTGAGTGGTTGAAAAACTTCTTAGCTAGTATTTTAATATGTGAAAAACCCACACCATCAGTGTCTTTGCACTGTGATAGTCAATTTGCAATAGCAATGACCAAAAATAAAATCTGTAATGACAAAAATAGGCATATTCAATTAAGACATAACATTATAAGGCAGCTGCTTAAAGATAGTGTTATCTCAATCGATTATGTAAGATCAGAGTTAAATTTGGGGAATCCATTAACTAAGCCACTGAGAAAGAAATTTATTATTGAAACATCGAAGGGAATGAGACTTAAACTTGTATGAAATTAACAATGATAGCAACCCAACATTTGTCATTAGAGATCCCATGAAGAAGGTTCAATGGGTAAGAACAAGTCACTCATTAGTTTTGCTAGCACTAAAATTCTTGGCCTTTCCTATGATTTGAGAAAGTGTTAGAATATATTGATCGAAGGTTGAACGAAACCTCTTAATGTTTTTCGTAGTCTTTATATATGGTATATTTATTGCGCACACACACACACATATATTTTGTTATATATATGTGTAAAATTAAATATAAATATATAGATTGAAATATTTATATTATGGTAGTGATATATATAGATTTAATTTTCTTTCAATTATCATATATGCTTTATCATTTTGGCCCTTCTAAATAAATTTTTTTAGCTGCACCCCTGGATGTATGTATATAATATTTGTATGTGCGTAATATATATGTACATATACGTATGTGTGCGTGCAATTGATTGGCACCGGTTATTCACAAGAAGAAAATAGAAATGCTTATGCATTATTTGAAAGGGAAAAAATGGGAAGTGAGAAAATAATTTGAGAAAATAGAAAGAAAAGAACATATCCCATGAGAATTAGATCATGTACAATTTAAATTTTTTTGATAGGCAGTTCGTAAATATTTTTATAAGTTCTTTTTTAACCTAAAGCATGCATGGCTCTAATAAGGCTTAGACTCAACTTACCTAATTTTGTTATATAAAAAAAGAAAGAAGAGAATAATATATTAAAAAGAAAATATTTTTTCTTCTTTATATATATTTGGGTAAATGGGACAAAAACTATAAAGGAAAGAAAAGTAACTAATTTAACAATGATAATCACATCAAGGTGCGTGATAAGAAAACATGTGGGTATGTTCCTCCTTTCCCCATTAGCTTTTCTTTCATTTTTGTTCTCTCTTAAATTAAATTAATGGTCACCTGCAATATTGATAGACTGATCTGATCAGAAATCAAACAGATAGTTATTGAAAACAAAGATCATGACAATCCAAAATAATTAGAAGAGTCGGTTGTATGTATTTACACGTTGTTCAGGATTGTTGTTGATTATTTAGAATTCGATTATGGCATTTTACACTTTTCATATTTTAAATTAAATAAATTGCATCAATTAAACCTATATATATATATATATGATAATTAAAAGGGCCCACATGTATAACTTGAGCGGAATCAGTATTTGATAGCACGAGTACATATATAGTATATAATAAAGTCCCACTTGGAAGAAGAGTCAAAAATGGATAATAAAAAGAGAAGAAACATGTCAATCTGTGGGAGAATAAAATAATAGAAGAGTGAGTTGGGGTAGTGTCAGTTGAGTTTCAGAGAATAATGATGGCACTGTTTGCGTGTGGGAATGACGAAGCTTGATGCTTTATAAAATAATGCCAACCTGCATGCAATTTGATCACAAGTGAAATCAAATCATACACGCTTCCTCTTCCCTCGCTGTACACAATCTCAACATCAAATTACCATCACTAATTCCTTTTATATCTTGTACGGCTCAAAATTATTAGTGCCAATCCTAAATAAAATCATTATTTCATATTTTTCACAATAAGTTTATTGGCTTATAAATAGTGATAAGATTTGATAAATATATCAACAGGCGTGACTTTTAATTATAACCAACTGTTTAAGTATGATATCTCAAGTTTAAATTTATGTAAATGTAAAAAAATTTTTCAGGAGAGTTACTTTTTTTTTTACCTATATTTGAATCTAACATTCATGTTTTGTTTATTTAATATTTTTTAAAATGTTTTATTTTGCAATAATCAAATTTTTATTCTCTTGAGTTTATTTCAATTTTCAATTTAGTCCCTCAAATTTCATTTTTATTGATATGATTTCTTAAATTTGTCTTTGATTTGGTTCTTATTATTTAAAGAAGAGAGATAACATTATTAAACTATATTAACATGAATAATGAAATATTGAGGGTAGTAATGTAGAGTAATAAAAAAATGTAATTATGTAGGTAGGAAAAACATAATTAGAAATTTTAAGAAAATAAAAGTGCTTGCACCCAAATTGTAAATTTAAAAACTCAAGCTCAACTCAACTTAATTCACTTCGCATTCTCACGTCCAAGTGAATTATTGTAAGGAAGCTCGAGTTCTTCCGTTTTTGATTATATGTTAGATTCTTTTATCTTTTTGAGACCTCACGTCTTTAACACGTCTCATGACACTTTTTTTTGTTTTTGCTAAACAAAAAGAATAAAATATAACGTAAGAAAAAAAAGAACTAATTTATTTTTATTTAGTAATATATACATTCCAACTCATTGATATAATTTACACGATAATTTAATGAAATTTGAGGGATCAAATTAATAATTGATATACATTTAAGCAACTGAAAATTTTATTATTTTTATTTTATTGATAAATAATTTGTCATGCGAATTAGTGTTACGTAGTACTGCTCTAGTTTGAACTTTGAAGTGATGGCTGCGTAGCAGAGAATGTGAGGCATTGAACACGCGTGCACCTAACCAAAGCTACCAAACCTTTTCCTTAATTGTCAAGTACAGACACGTAGATATATAAGCCCATGTGTTTTTTCAATATTCCTCACATTTTGAGATCCTTTACAATATTTTTAAACAATTCAACTCATGAAACATAAAGTAGTAAAATGAATTATAAATAACGTTTTCCAAATTTTTGACAAAACAACGGAGCGGTATGCTATGAAGGAGTAGCTTTCAAACCGTAGTTAAGCATGCCTCATGATATTGACCCCTTTTTTGTTTGGGCCGAACTGATTTTGACCCGTTGGGTAAGAGATAATTAAGCAGAAAGATTAAAGATATTTTATTCACTTATAGTTAACTTGTCAGATAAAAATACCGATATTTAATGTATTATTATATTTATATTGAATTATTTAATCATATAATAACAATAAGGTGGCGAAAGAACTGTGGTCATTGAGAGGAAAGACAACGAAAAGAAAAGGATACTGAGGTGACGACCGGAAAAGATGAAGCAAATGGTATTTTCGTTGGAGATGCGAGTCGATTCCGATAGAAAAGGACCCTTCGTACTTCTTCTCTTTCTTCTTTTGCTTCTAATCCTTCCCAGTATTTAAACTCTCTCTTCATCTTCCATTCTTTCCTTTTCTCTTGTTTCAGTGAACCTGTTCTTCTTCTTGTCGGTTTGAGGATTAAAGTCTTAAACTTTGAAAGCTAAAGCTTCGGAGATAAGTTCATCTTCGGTTGAGGGTTCTCTTTGTTTTGTGATTATGCCATAGAAGTGTTGCTTAGTTAAACTGGTATCCGAATGCATTATTCATGACTCAGGCATCGGTTAGTCGGTGGGGGTCATTAGCGTTTGATTATAAGTTTTGATCTTACTTGGTTTAAGTTCATTACAGTTCTTCGTTGTTGAAATGTTCAAAATTGTTTGTGTGTAGTGTTTTTTTGGTAAGATTTTGGTGTAAATAGTGGTAGATGGGTCGATGGTAGATTTTCGTCGTTGTAGTTGTTGACTCCTTCGATATTGTGTTATTTCAGGAGGATCTGCTCCTGTGTTTTTTTTTGGGATGTATTGGTCATCATCAATAAGAAAATGAGTGTTGAGTAAAGAAAAAAGACACAGGAGAATTCATAATCTGATCATAAGTTTGTGACCCCTGTCTTCCTCGGATTGTGTTTTAATAATTATCACTTCATTTTATATTTTTTAATCTTAATACTTCTTAGCAATCGGCATTCCAGTACCAGAGGAAAAATATTTGTTTCTTTTGGCTTTCTGAAAGTAAAGTTGTATACTGGAGTAAGGAGGAGGAGGAGATTTTTGCTATACTTGTTGAGGTGCTGGCTAAATTCTCTGTTGGGGCCATTGTATCTTATGGGAATACCTGATAGTTCATTACTAGATCTGGTAGAAAAGGTTAGATCTTGGGTTTCTTGGCGAGCAAGTGATCTGCAATGTTTGTCTGACCAATTTGATATGCTTAAAAGTAGCAGTCAAATGTGTTGCAATTGTCAAAGAAACATCAATGAAATGTTCCTCAAATACAACTGCAGAAGTTGTGGGCGTTGGTTATGTGGGAAATGTGTTGAAGGTTGTGATCTTAGCAATCTTGAATCTGAGGACTGTGCGTTTAGGAAGACAATCAATTCTTGCAAATTTTGTTCTGATTTTAAAGGGAAGTTTAGTGATACCCAAGAGAGTCCAAGACAAAGTCCTGAGCCACCATCACCATGTTTCAGTGTTGAAAGTGAAAGGACCTGTTCTCCACTGAATATTGAGTCAAGTAAGAGCTATCTTCAACCCCAAGATTATGCATATGTTCCCGATGCCGTGATCAGCAGGTGTATGGCCTTGTCTGGTTCTCCGCCTGCTCAAGCAACTGCTCTTCCATCTTCACGGAGGTATTATATTCTGGTTTTTATTAGAGGAAGTGACACAGTGGCATGTAATGTTATTTCCTTCGGAAAATCTGGTTTGCATTATTATTTTGTTTTCTCATCTATACATGGATTAAGAAACAATATATTTTATTATTTGTTAGTGAATCAATTTCTGAAGGCGTAAATGCATAATTTAATGAGTTTGGTTTCATCCTTGACTTTGCAAATATTTTTACTGAAGCCATGTGTATCAATGTAGGAATGATGGAAAAAGGATTGCTGATTCTGGGAAGCATCTTTATAGCCCGTCAAGTACATATTGCCATAGTGGTACTGATACACATTCTAGTGCTAGAGCTAGCCATGTAACTTGCAACTATAAGTGTAGGGGGTCAGATTCTGTTGAAAGCCCCTCTAGGATTGATTTTGCTTCCAGTAGAGTTGGGCTTCCTGTACAGTGGGGGCAAGAAAGAAGCCCCATTTCTCAGTACAATGGTCCCTTTGGTGAACAAACTATGGCTGTTTTAAGTAAGCCTGAACAAGGGACTGCAGATTCATATAATACTGATTATTTTTCTGATGACTTGTCATTTTTCTGGAGCCAGAATGAGAATTCTCAGAGGCCATTGGATTTTCAAAACAATGACACTATCTGGTTTCCTCCTTTGCCTGATGATGAATATGATGATACAGAAGAAAGTATTTTTGCATTTGATGATGAAGATGATGATATCGGTGATTCAAGTGCCTTGTTCACATCCAGTAGTAGTCTGTCTACTGTGTTTCCATCAAAGGAGAAACATAACATAGAAAATAAAGAACCTTTAAAAGCTGTTATACAGGGACATTTTAGAGCTCTAGTTTCACAGCTTTTACAAGGAGAGGGTATTAAAGTTAGTAAGGAAAGTTGTTCCAATGACTGGCTTGACATTGTTGTAACAATAGCATGGCAGGCTGCCAACTTTGTAAGACCAGATACCAGCAAAGGAGGCAGTATGGATCCTGGTGATTATGTAAAGGTTAAATGTTTAGCATCTGGAAGTCCAAGTGACAGGTATGCTGTGATTCAAATGCTTCCTGCATATTGTATAGATTTATGCTATTTTCCTTGGAATTTTCTGCAATTAACCATTAAGATTTTTCTGATTTTGGTTTGCAGCACCTTCATTAAAGGATTAGTTTGTACAAAAAGTATAAAGCATAAGCGCATGACTTCACAATATAAAAAGCCTAGAATACTTCTTTTAGCAGGAGCACTGGAATATCAGAAGGCTCCAAGTCAACTGGCTTCTTTTAATACTTTGTTGCAGCAGGTGACTTTTTTGTGCCCTCTTGTAAAGTTAAGTTTCTTGTATAAATATAATTTTAATTTTTAAATGCTGGCAGGAAAATGATCATATTAAGATGATGATTTCAAAAATTGAGGCTCTTCGGCCGAACGTTTTGCTGGTAGAAAAAACTGTAGCTTCATGTGCCCAGGAATATCTGCTGGCAAACGAAATTTCACTGGTGTTGAATGTTAAGAGTCATTGCTGGAGCGTATAGCCTGCTGCACTGGTGCTCTTATCACTCCATCAATAGATTATTTATCAACAGCACGATTGGGGCACTGTGAACTATTCAGATTGAACAGAATGGTAGAAGATCATGAGACTGCCAATCAGTTCAACAAAAAGCCATCCAAAACCTTTATGTTTTTGAAGGTTGTCCAAGGCGTTTGGGCTGTACGGTAACTTCACTGTGCTTTGCATTATTAGTTTTTAAAATCATTAATTCACTATTCAGGAACAAAGGCAATGCATTCTCCTTTTTGTTTTTGAATGAAAAGCATAACATTCTCTTACATGCATCTCTTTTTTTTTTACAGTAAGCTACACGTTGGTATGATGTGATGGCAGATTATTGATTTGTGAAATTGGTTCCTTTGTTTGATTTTGGTTATTATTGTAGGTCCTACTGAAGGGTGCATGCCGTGCAGAACTAAAGAAAATCAAGCATGTGGTTAAATATGCAGTTTTTGCAGCTTATCATTTATCTCTTGAGACATCATTCCTTGTGATGAGGGTGCCACCCTTCCTAAAAGGAGATCAAGACACTCCATAGCCTTTACAGAGGGGATTTCTGCTGACAATGACATATCTATATTTTCTAACGCTGATAGTGCCACTATGTGCCAGTCAGAGGCTGATGATATGGATAGGGTGAAAGAATTAATGGTTCTTCAATCAAAGATTGAAGGATTGGGATCAGAATTAGAGCATCTTAGTGAACTTAAATCTCCTTCTAATGCAAGGATGATGGGTTATAGTGTTGGGAAGGTACTCTCTAATGCATGCCATGATGACTTAATAGATAATTTGACTATAGAATCATGTTATTTGAATCAGAGCAATGAATCAGAGGGAGATCCTATGCCTCCTTGTTGGAGAGACTATTGGCAACCAGATATGCAGAAAAGCATGTTCAAGGGGTGAGGCAGCAAGGTGAAATTAGTCAATTGTCTAAAGATGAAAATGGTGAGAAATATGGAAATGAACTCTCTGGTAAATACTTTTCTGCCGCTGATGGTAATCAGAGCATATTGGTGTACTTTTCTAGCCACTGTGTGTCCAAGGGAATGGTATGTGAGCACACAAAGCTGCTTCGGATAAAGTTTTATGGTTCTGATGACACGCCTCTTGGAAGATATCTTCATGAGAATCTTTTCAGTCAGGTAACTTATATGGCTTGTTTGGTCTATATTTATCACACAAGTTCTTGTTTTTGCTTTGTATTTGGGTAGTCACTTGCTGTGTTTGGTACTTGGTACCAACTGTCAATTTGGAGTGAAATGACTTTTCTTTTCTCCTCAGACATCTCACTGTCAGTCTTGTAAAGAGCCTATGGAGGCCCACGTTCTGTGTTTATGCACCAGGAAGGAAATCTTACAATCAAGGTTAAGCACCTTCCGTTGGCAAAATTACCAGGGGAAAGAGATGGCAAGATTTGGATGTGGCATCGATGCCTTAAATGTCCTCATATAAATGGAGTTCCACCAGCAACTCGAAGAGTGGTTATGTCAGATGCTGCCTGGGGCTTGTCTTTTGGAAAGTTCTTGGAACTTAGCCTCTCAAACAATGCAACTGCAAATCGAGTTGCAATCTGTGGTCATTCTCTGCAGAGGCATTGCCTCCGTTTTTATGGGTATGGCTTTCAGACAGGGAATCCATAATTGATTATGCTTTCGTGTGTTAATTTAGTTAATCAATGACATTGAAATTTGATAAACATATTGATTTATTACAGTTTTGGAAGCATGGTTGCTTTCTTCCAGTATTCCCCTATTTATATTCTCTCAGTACATCTGCCCCCATCCGTGTTGGAATTTAGCCATAATCAGGAGGGTGGATAAGAAAGGAGGCAAGAGAGGTGCTCTAGAGAAACTGTTGCTCATATTTTATTTAATACTTGTTTAAAGTGACATTAGGTTGTAGGTTTTATTTTTTATTTAATCTTGTTGACGTTTAAATTTTAACTTGCTCCTTTCTTTCACAGCTTTTGGGCAAAATGGAAACATTGTACGGGGAAATATCAGATTTGCTTGAATGCATGGAGAAGCGTGTATCTTTTGGTGCTGGGTATGAGCTGTCTGATACCTGTGACATTCATAACAACATAGCGGAGCTCAAAGATATAATTAGAGAGGAAAGAAGTGAATATCATGTGAGCACACTAAAAAAGCCTAAAAACTACATCCAATTTCCATGTATAATTGTTATGTTAGCGTACATAGCCCCATATGTGGAAGTGGTATTACTCTTACGTGTTTATATTTATTTCTTATGTTCCTTTTTCCTCCTTTTCTTTTCTCTGAGTGTGTTCATTTGTGTATATAGAGTCTGCTAGCATCAGCAACTGCAGAAACCTCACAACCAAGGAAGATGGCTTTAGACATTCTGGAATTAAATCGCTTAAGACGTAACCTTCTGATTGGTTCACATGTTTGGGATCATCAGCTTTACTCTTTGGACTCTTTAATAAAAAAGATTTCTAGTTCCAAGTTCAAACAAGGAAATGAATCTTCGGCAGACTTTAGAGATTTAAGAGTTGACTTATGTCACAAGGATCCCAATTTTGACCATGGGCCTGAGCAGTGTAGCCTTCAGCCATCCAATTTAACGGAATATCCTGAAAGTTGTATTCTTAGACAGATGGATGAGCATCGTGATCCAGGTTCTGAAGCTTGTACATCTCATACAGACAGAGAACGCTTGCTTTCAGATATTGACTTTGTTGTCAATAAAACATCTTCTGATTGTCTCCCCTCTCAGGAATCTAATCTTTCTGAGAAAATAGGTTCTGCCTGGACTGGAACTGATCAGTCTCCTTCAAAAGTTGGACCTCTTCATGCATTTCAAGTAGATGGTAGTCTACAAGCTGGAAGTACCAGTCAGTCTGAATTAAATGAGAAGCCCCCTTTTAGAAGGTTGATCCAGCCAGTGAGAGTTCATTCTTTTGGTTCAGCATTAAGAGTTCAAGAAAGAAGTCGGCGAGCCTTACCCCTCTCATTACGGTTGTCAACACTTAGATCTTTTCATGCTTCTGGTGATTACAGGGATATGGTTAGAGATCCTGTTTCTAATCCATTGCAGACTCACTTTCAAATGTCACCATGGGAGGTGCAGAAGCTAAATCTGATGCTGAGCTCCAGACCACTATTCATCTCCTCTGCATGTCATGTGGCTGAAGGTGTGCGGTTGCTGCTTCCCCAAACACATCATGGTGATAGAGTTATTGCTGTTTATGATGATGATTACTCTAGCATAATATCTTATGCCCTTAGTTCTAGGGAATACGAAGATGGGGTTGCACATAAGTTGGATCTACATTGTGGAAGCTTGATTATGCATGAAAGAAACAGACAATATTCAGCTGCTTCCTTTTCAGCCCAGCAGTCTGTTGGTTCTTCAGACTTTGAGTATATCCATCATGGTGGATATGGGTCAGAAGATGCTCCATCATCTATTGCCTCTCTTCTAATGGACTCCAAAAAATCTTTACACTTGAGAATTTCTTTTGGTGATGATTCTTTGGGCGCTGGAGGAAAAGTGAGCTTTTCTGTCACTTGTTATTATGCAAAGCAGTTTGATTTACTTAGAAAAATGTGCTTCCCTAATGAAGTTGATTTTATACGTTCCTTGAGCCGCTGCCATAGATGGAGTGCACAAGGAGGAAAAAGTAATGTATATTTTGCCAAGTCTTTGGATGATAGGTTTATAATTAAACAAGTCATAAAGACAGAACTCGATTCCTTTGAAAAATTTGCACCTCAGTACTTTACGTACCTGATGGATTCCCTTAGTTCAGGAAGCCCAACTTGCCTTGCTAAAATTCTTGGTATCTATCAGGTGAGCTTTCATTCTAGGGTTGTGTCTGCCTGCATCATGAAGCTCAATATTGTTAATTTTTTTTTTTGGCCAACAGCTCTACATTGTGATATTGATGTAACTGTTACATGTGTAATGGCAGGTCACTGTCAAATACCCAAAAGGTGGGAAGGAAACGAAAAATAGATCTGATGGTAATGGAGAATATCTTCTATAAGAGAAATATATCTAAAGTATATGATCTTAAGGGCTCAAAAAGATCAAGGTACAATACAGAAACAACTGGGACAATGTTAGACATGAATTTGTTAGAAGCATTGAGGACAAAGCCCATATTTCTTGGGAGCAGGGCAAAGAGACGTCTTGAGAGAGCTGTATGGAATGACACAGCCTTTTTGGCGGTAAGCTTCATTTTGGTTTCCAAACCAGCTCTAAATTCTTTCAAGTTCGTTACTTAATTTTTAGTTCGTGAGCCTGAAATTTTCTAGAATCTGAAGGTTCTTATGCAGTAGACGAGAGCATGATAAATTGCACAAGCATATAATGGTTTCTCGTTGTATGTAGTTTCTGAAAGTTTGTTCCTTATCTTGTGCCCATCCTCGTGGTTCATATCAAGCCTAACATTACTCTTTAGAGGTATCAGGAAATGGGATATTGAGAGCTTGACAATTTTGCTGTCAACCTACTTGGGGAAGGGAAGGTACTCCCTTTGGTTTTATTTATAAGGTGGAGAGAGAATAACTTTTTTGGTTCTATTTTATAAGTCATGTCATGAATTTTTTATCACAATTTTTCTTTTTTATCCTTTATTAAATGTTGGTAAGAGAAAGTGCATTATTATTAAAGCATTTATATTTAATAAAAGCAAAGCTAGAAATTTATTAAATTTTTAGACATAGTTAATAAGTTTTAAAGTTTTTTCAGTTCTAGTAAAATATGTTGGAAGTGACTTGTAAATAAAAGCTACTCCTAGATGTTGGTTGAGGATGTTACTGACATTGTCGCGTGATTGAGCAGTCAGTGGATGTGATGGATTACTCGTTGCTGGTAGGGGTGGATAACGAGAGGAAGGAGCTGGTGTTGGGGATAATAGACTTCATGAGGCAGTACACATGGGACAAGCATTTGGAGACATGGGTTAAGGCCACTGGGATACTTGGTGGTCCTAAGGATGCTTCTCCCACAATTGTTTCTCCTAAACTCTACAAGAAGAGATTCAGGAAGGCCATGACTACCTACTTTCTCACTCTCCCTCATCAGGGGTCATCCTCCTCTGGCTAATGTATTATAATTCTTTTTCTGAGCTGTGTATTGATTCTTCAATAAGAATCTCAGTGTTGGGTGAGGATAATTGTACATACGTGCATGGGGAAACTTGAAGAGTGATAAATCCAGACTTTTGATTTGTGTATGATGGGGGAAATAATAGCCTTGACCAGAACTTGGAACCAAGATTGCTCAGGATAATTGTGCATTTTTCTTACTGTCTGCTTCTCAAGCCACACTCCTAATTCACAGTCTTAGATGTTAAAGTTTTAGAGAAAATTGTATATAGGTACCATTGAAGGAACATATTTACATATAAGTCCTTCAAATTAATCAGTAATATTGGATATATTATGGTTGTCCCAGAAAAATTATCTTATTGACTTCTAGTAATTTGATAAATGCATTTTATGCCTTGGCCATATACTAATACCTCATTTATGGGGATCTCTGGTACTGTATATAGGATCTCTTATACACCATCCATCCTATTTTAAAGAGAATTTTTTTTAATTTTATTTGTAAGCCATGTCATTATTTTTTATCATGACTTTTTTTTTTACCCTCCATTAAATGTTGGTGAAAGAAAGTATATGTTATTAAAATATATATATTTAATAGGAGTAAAGTTGAAAATTTATAAATTTTTAGATAGAGTTAATGAGTTCTTGATTTCAATTAAATATGTTAAAATGACTTATAAATAAAATTAAAAGAATAATTACTTCACAAAAAATTAGTCAATTTAGTTAGTAGCATTGAATTTGTATTATCTCTTTATACCTAATTAATTAATATGAAATAATTCAAGGCATCTTTGTAAGACCAGGGAAAATTTTGCAAAGATAAAAAAAATAGAAAAACTACGGGTGTAAATTTCAAAGGACAAGTTGTTATAGTCCATGGAATCCAAGTTCTAAGAAAAGATTACATCACATTAATTTAATATTGAGGTAGACTTTGATACGTAACTAAAATTATCATTCATTATTCCTAAGGAAAAAATTATGTATAGATCTCGTGAAGTATATTTATTTATAAATAAATCTTGTAAAATTTAAAATTCACATTTAAATTTCTTAGAACTTGATTGCAATTTGAATTTGCATACAAAGACAACATTGTCTCCATTAAAAATATTCAAGTTGCAATTGTAAAATATTGAAGTGAGTTGTAAATTACTAATATAACAGTTGTAAATAATTAGTATTAAATTTTGTTAGCAACACGCAAAGTTATTATTGTAAAAATTTAAAGAGATAGTTATAAATTATTGATAAAGTAATTCTTAATTATTTAATTGATATAATGTATTTTAATAGAGGCATTAATATTATTTTTTATTTCAATTTTAAATTATACTCAAGTCTCGAAAGTTATAGCTATGATTTTTAAATTTTGTAAGACTTATTTATAAATAAGTTTGTTTCATAAGATCTATGCATAATGTTTCCTATTCTTAATTTTGTTGATTTCATAGACTATATGACTACGCTCGACTAAGATGATGCTGGAGTGTTGTGACGTTGATCCTCCAATAAGGAAAGTAGCACATTTTATGCACTTCTGCTTTTGGATTTGCCCACATGTGTAAATGAGGGTAATTTTGGTTTTTCCAACAGGTCTTTTCCTTTTCTACGACATGTGCTTTTGTCTTCAAGATTTGCTTCTAATTTCAACTCCACTTTACCCATATTTCTTAAACTACCCCTTATTAGATTCAAAAACGGATTTGATTTCTTTCTTAACTGACAGTGATGAATACCAACTCATAGCAAGTAATAATTGCTCTCTCTATTCTATCTATAAGATTCTACATATCCATTCTTCATACAAGATTCTTTTAAAATTTAAAGAAACTTTTATTATATTTATACACTCATCTCTTTCGTTCTTGCATGTTTTTCAATCCTCTCTTGCATCAATAAACAATATTAATCAAATGGTAATTTTGAAAAGTTGTAAGAATTTTTTACATTTAACTTACTTTAACGAATTTTCTTAATATCATGAAGATAGTTAATAAAACCTTATAAAAAAGATTTAAGAGAGAATATATACATGTGTCTCCTTAATTAAACAAAACCTTATATAATAAGCTACACGGATCATGGTTTATGCTTGTGCATAATGTATCTTCCTATAGATTTATTAAATAAATAGATATTGACAACAATAACAACAAGAACAATAATAATAAATTTACGTAACCTATTGGATTTTTTTTTTTTGAGCAAACAAAATAATCTATTGGAGATTAGGAATTTATAAGAAAATTATTCAATAAAAATATAACATGTGAATGACTTATTTTGGTTAAAAAATCCATTGGGATAATTGTCAAAATTGTTTCATACAGAGAGGTCTGTCAAAATATTTAACTTGCCATGACCTGTATGTGTGAAACTTTTTAACACTAATCAGATAAGCATAGAATTACGATTAGGTAAGGAGGAACAGAAAGCATAATGAGAAGCTTAATACTACATTGCATTCTATTAATTCCTAAAAAATTTTGTTCTTTGCAGTAGCTGAACAAGGGTTTTACATATATATACATATATATTAAAAGCAACTATTATTGACTTAGTCCTGGAACTTTTTCCCCATGCAAAAGTTTAGATTCTAAATTGCTATTAAATTATAGCCAGTTACAAGCCTAATATAACGCAGCATCACTCTTATTCAAGAAGACAAAACTCTTAGATTGGACCCCGATAAATAGATAGATTTTAAATTTGGTGCTCCGTATGTAATATTTCTTTCAGGTTAATCCCTCAATCATTGAAATGTTTCTAACTTTTTGTTTCATTTTCATCCAAAGTTCAACACAAAACCTAACACTTCGCTGACTTAATTTTGGTTGTCGCATCAAATTTCAGATGTAAATATGATGAGGAAACAACGTTGCAAGATGTTCAATGATTGAGGGACTAGCTAGTAAGAAATTAATCATGAAGGACCAACTTTAAAACTCACCTATGTATCAGAGACTAAAATATGATTTTTGAGACGACCCCCTTGACTGAAGTCCTTGTTGTGGAGTGTTTGGCTTCATGGAGAACTCAGATAAAATATCATCAAGAAGCCACAGCTATTTCACTGCCTCCTTTGCTGATGGGCATGAAACTCACTCTCCTCTGCAAACAGATTTTATAAATCCACAAAATCTAATCGATCAAAAGGAACTTAATGTGTGGAGATGTAGTAGATCACTTGAGGAACTTTCATATTTTTTCCCCAAACAAAAGACCCACTATAGGTGAGAAGTAATTAAATTACAAGAAAAAATTGCAGAGTAGGACCTTAAATCAATTGAACCCTTTTATATTGGAAAACTTTAAAATTTGAATGAACTTTAAAAAAATCAGAGACTTAAAATTTAAATTTTACAAAAAAAAAATTATAATTCAATATTCTATCTTTTTTTTATTCTTCTAGAAGGTCCATCTTGTTCGTTGTTCCTCTGTTTTGAAAGCAACGGATGTTCAAGATAACTCTGTTTTTTTTCCTTTTCGCTCTCTTAAATAATTGCTTTTTGATTCAGAGGTCAGCTTTGTCCCATTTTATATATATAAACAAACTTTTGATTTATCATGATCATTCACTCACGGACTCAACTTACCACCTGATTTTGGGTATTATGAAAGATATGTACCAAGAAAAAACAATAAAGGCTTCTCAGTTCACGTGAACACAATCCTTATACATTTTACATATTATTTTGATATATTTAATGCATGAATCTAGAAAAACTCGAAATCTGTACTTAGCCGAAATGTGAGTGTTTAGGTAATGAAAGAGCCTGAAGATTAACTTTCTTTATGTAACTTTTAGGAGACACTATATTTCAGATCCTTCAAATTTGTCATCACTTTTTGCTTCAGAGGATATATCTAACTTCAGATTATTATCCTCGTTCTTTTTACTGTACTTTCAAATGTTCTCAGAGTCAAAAAAGACACGGTACAACAAAACAGCCATCAAAAGAAAGAAGACAAGATAGAATCAGATATAGAATGAAAAACATTATATGCATCTTCTTTAACAAACATACCTCACGTGCCTTCATGCTTGTCTCTGCTTCTTTGCTGCTGCTGCTACTAGTTTTCTCCATGCACAAACTCATAATCTTCTGTGCAGCTTCAGCTTCATCTTTTGCTTCTCTCACAAGCTTCTCAACCTCAGACTTAGGAAGCCTCATCTTCAACCTCACGCCGACGCCGCCATTAACGTCCTTCTCTGAACCATCATTCACATTCACATGACTCTGTTTTATAATGGACAGATCAGAAGCAGACCTTCTAGACAGCATGAGGCTCTCGAGGCGATCTTTGGCGCTCATTTTGATCTCAGAACGAACCCTTCTCGGAACCGTCAGTTTGTCCTTGGGAAGCTCCACCAGAAAGTACAGTCTCTTGGGTAACAAATCTTTGTGAGGTTCCAAAGGCTTGGCTCTGATACCATAATGCTTCACTGCTTCGGAGTCTATGAGAACCAGACCAGGATGGTCCTTGAGGACATCACCAGCCTTCAATGGAGTCTTGAGCTTGAAGGTTTCTCCATCGATTTTCATGACCTTGGTTGTTTTTTTGCCCCCTAAGGTATTGCCCATTATTAGGGTATCAAGCTTGAAGGAGGATTAAGGGGGGATGGTGGGTGTGAGAGAGGAATACAGGAAGATGACGAGGTGATTGTTTTATGGGTGGTTGATGATCATGGGGTAGGGTGTGAATTTTGGTCAACAAAGAAGGCAAAGTTTGAAAAATAGACAAATGGTTGACAAAGAATGAATTAGTAAGTGATTGTCATCATGTTGTTGATTAATTAAAACTAAACAAGTGGTTTAGACATGTATAGAGAATAGAGTCATAGGAAACATTAGTGAAAAAAAGTGAAATGAAAAAATTTGAGTCCTATAAAAAAGGTAAAAGAAGATTGAAGAAAACATTAAAAAAAATTGTCAAACGAGATTTTTTCAATGATAACATACCGAAAGGCTTGATTATTGATAGAGTATAATGATATTGTGCAATTCATATAACCAACCTTACATGATAAAATAAAACTTTTTATTGTTGTTGTTATTGCACATGTGTCATCCAATTGGATGATAATCTTGTTTGAGATACACAATAAAATATTAAATATAATTATATCTCCCAACAAAATTTTAAACTTTAATTTATCACAGAATAAATAACTAGTTGTTTTTATTATATCTAACTTAACTCTAGTTAATGCAGCCAACTATTTTAGATAAGTTAGATTATTTTTTCATTCATATATTATATATTCAAGACAGCCAAGAGAAGATAGTAGTTTGTGGAAGTGGCAGGTAATGGTTACACTTGCAATTCTTTTATCTCAAAGCTTATTGAAGTGTATATGTTGGGATGCAGAGTCAACGCAGAATTGGAGAAAACAGTGGAGAAACAGAAAACACAAAACAACAAAAAAGCAGAGGCAATTGGTAGGATCAAGTAAATATAATTTGGGAGTGTTTGGTTTTTTCAACAACGATGTTGGGATGTTCAAAGATAGGACCCAGTTGCAGAGGAGTTTTTTCAGAAGCATCCAACCAGAAAAGCCAACCATTTTCTGATCTCTTCAACCATGAGAGTCACTCTCATAACGGTAATCGCGGCGGAGAATTCCAGGATATATATTCAATTCATTCATTCAATTGTTGCATGTGATTGGTGCCCTTTTAAAATATAATATATTATTTCCTGTATACTGGCATGCTAATCTAAACGTGGTCTTGAATGAAGAAATTAATGAAGATTGATTTGGATGATAAATATGCACCTTATAAATATAGCTTGTGATTATTCCTGTACACTAGCATGCTACTCTCAACGTGATCTTGAGGTTGTGATTATTCCTATACTAATTAATTGGGTTCGTTGCTTTTTTTAACCACCGACAAAGATGAGAAATAATAATACCTATTTTTGACCAAGTATACTATTCAACTAGGTCTTGTTTTTTTGTGTTTTTATTTTTGTTTTTGTTTTTGTTTTTGTTTTGGTAATGAGGAGCCATTAGGTAAGGAACTCGGTCTTGTTTGGTATCTAGAACGAAAACTATAGTATACATAATTATTTTATATTAAAATTGAGATGTATAATGTATTTATTATATATATATATATATATATATGATATTTTATTTTTATTTTTATTTTTGCTTATGCAAAAGTGTAGCGTATGTTTCATATGTGGAAACTTTTTTAACAACAAAATTCTTTTAATGATAAATAACAACGCTTGAACTATTAAAATATGAATTTTTGCGCGGTATGTCATGTCTTCATTTGCGCTTAGCATGTAAACGGGATGACATCTTAACAACGTCAGAATTATTAAAATATGGAATTCCTTTGTCTCATACTGATAAGATACTAATGTTTTGGGTGGTTAAAAAAAAAAAAGGTACTAATATTTTGAATATTATTCTTGTAGGAAATTTTAATATTACAATGCACTTGAAAGTTGAAATTAACTTCTCGTTCGCTGCACAGCAAAATTTGCTTCATCCAATACTTAATCCATTAATGCTTAAAATTCCCTCATCTTAAATAGTACAACGAAAATTCCGACACATATATCATTACTTCAATGATAATTAATATATTATTAAATGATAATAATTGAATTGAAAATTCTGCTTCCATCATATTATTTATAAGAGTAAAATACAATGACCTTCCTTCAAGTTTGTCAAAATTACAGAGATCTCCTCTTTATTTTCAAAACCTACACTTTGGTCTATTTTTTAATGCAGTTAGGAATATTTAGTTTAGTACTCTAAACTACCTTATTATATTAATTAAAATATGCAAAAAAAATTAAAATTATTACTCTACCCTTATAATTTAATGTATTCTCTCTCCTTCAATTTTAAAGAATATTATGGTTATATTTCACTTTCATAAAAATTTTACAAAATATTAAAATTAATAAACATAAATTATATTAAAATTAACAAAATAAATATAAAATATATTCATCTCTCTTTATATTAAATTCCTAATTTTTTTCTAAGAATTTCTCTAATTTATTAAATTTTTATTCATACATATGTGAAATATTATTTTTTTCAACTTAAATATTTAAAATTTAAAAATTACTATATAAATAAGTTTATGATCTAATCATCCCTAGTCCAAATCCTTGAACAGCAGCCAACTGGAACATACTTCTTATCATGTCTTTTATATGATGTGAATTCTGCCAAAGCAATCTTAGAGACCCCAATTTCATTCTCAGAGATAGCTAACAAGATTATATGGGGGGAAAGGCACCTATTGTGTTCATTTAGGTTACTGTTGGCTTACTCAAAATGTAAAGATCAATCCTTATGTTGGTGAAGAGATTTGGAATTTTCTTTGAAAGTTCAATTTATCTTACAAAACTCTTCTATTTATTTGGAAGCTTATCCACAAGGCAATTTCTATAGGAGACATTCTTCAAAGTCATCATTTTCATATTTCTACTCTTTTTGCTTTTGGTTGTGAGTATTCCAAAACCTTAAATCACATTTTTTTGTGAATGCCCTTTCTTAAGAGCTATTTGGTTTAGGGCTTTATCTTTCCAATCAACAAATACATTTGACTATGGGTTGATAAATTGGATTTTAGGGGTCTCTAGAACCCTCTTTCTCAAGCAAGATTTTATTACCTTGGAGAGCATCTTTACTCTGTTTTATCTTATTTGGCTCAAAAGGAATTTAATCATTCATAGTGGATCCAAGTGTAAAGTTCAGCAGGTCATTAAGGAGTTTAATGAAAATTTCAAATTCCTCAAGATTGCATGTAGTTGGGAATCTAAACATTCAAGTAGCACTATACTCCCAAGCTCAATAAGAAAATATGTTATATTAGCATGTCTCCAAATCTCCCGAGATCTGTAAACTCAAATCTAAATTGGGAGATTAAGATCAGGGAACTTAAAAGGAAAAGGATAACTCACTATCATGGTTGTATTTTCTTCAATGAAGAAGAAATTCATAGTCTAATGTTCAAGAAATCTGTTTTTCTGCCACCATGTCTCTTCATGGAGTCATGTATTGGAAGCATGTGGCTTTGGATCAGAAATTTCGACCAAGCAATTAGAAGACTAGGGGTTCAACAATGCCATCTTCAATTATGCTTTAACAAAGGGCTTGCTCTTGGAGCCGTGAAACAGATTAGTGCAAAACCTAGTATTTTGCGGAGGGAAGTAAATTTCCTCTTGAAGCACTTTGTCAACTGTGATTTTGTGAAAGACCAATCACATCCACACAAGTCACAATGCTTTCCCATCTCCCTCATTTAGCTTTTCTATTATTATTTTGACTTTCTGATATTGTTTTCTTTTTCTTTCTACTGTTAATATAAGTTGATCTTTTTCTTTAAGCAAAACGATTTTTAAACTTATATACTATATGTAAATTAGTTTATTTATCATCAATATTATTTTTGTCAACTTATATATTATAATTATTATTTCGAAAGGTAATTGACTCAAGGAGTATTTTAGTCCAAACTTTATTATTTAACAGTTAATTAACAGTTGGATGGATTAAAAATGAAATAATTAAAATAGAGAGGTAGTATGTGTTATGTAAATTTTGATTTAAATGGAGATTTATATAGATCTTAAAAATAGAAGGGAGAATTTTGTAGCTAAAATAAAATATATAGGAGGTTGGTGTATTTTATTCTATCTATAGTTATTGTCATTCCATGATGAAATTGTGTTCAACAGGTTATACATTCTGCCAAAAACAATTGTTCACTTTGCTAGCTTTTAAATGTAAAATCAAGAAGTAGGTTTCATCACAGAGTTTTATTTCTTTATGTTTGGAGGAGTTTGAAAATTAATCTTTCTTATATTTTGTTGTATGTGTGTCAAAAGTTTCATATTGTCTAAGTGAAAAACTCTTCTAATAATAAATACTAAGAAATAAAATAGGTTAGTAAAATGGGCTTGGAGAAAAAGTAGGTTCACAAGCACAAAATAGGCCAACTCAGGGTAATCACAGTTGAAATCAGCCGATTCGCCTTCCCTACACGCAAGTTTAAGAGTCACTGGCTTCCTTTTACTAGATTATTTTTAAAAAAAAATAAATAATTATTTATTTTTAAAAAAAAATCTCTGTTTTTAGCAAGGTACGTAAAACCGGACCGGTCATTGAACCGGTTATAACACTGGGTCACGGGTTAGTGGTTCAATTAGGGTTGAACCGGGGGTTGAACCGGTGGCAAACCGGTCATGATTAAAATAATACAATTTAAATAAAAAGACATTAATTATAAAAATATTCAACTAAATCCAACCACTCAAAAGTCTAACAGTAATAAAATACAACATTTTAAATATCTATCATTATAATTACAACTTTTCAATCTCAAAAGTCTAGAGAAGAGATGGAAATAGAGTTGGAGAAGAGACGAAGATTGATATGAAAAAAAGACGAAGAGTCAGAGACTAAGCTGGAGAAGAGATGAAGATAGCAAAGACAGAGATAGAGTTGGAGAAGAGATGAAGATAGAGCTGGAGCCTGAAGAAGAGACGGAGACTAAGTTAGAGAAGAGACGCTGATTAGGTTAGGGCGAGAGAGGAGAGACACAGATGAAAGGCCAAACTAAATGCTGTCTGAAAATCTAAATTAGACTTAGCGTGCTCTACCTCTAATTTTTTATTTTTTGACT